TTACAAGTGAGTTTATGTGCCTTGAAGCATATGGCCTTGATATATGATCCCAGAGCAAAAGGGCAAGGTATTTCAAGCTGGCCACAATTTTATTGACTCTCACAGGCTTGCTTTGTAGTCATTCCAATAAACGAGATGGGAAATTTTTGATGCTCCAAGCTATCCAGTCTTCAGGACTTCATTTCATGATTCAGAGTCCAACTAAACAACTCAAGAGTGCTTTTGTGTGACACTGTGACCACAGGAACAAATAATTGCTTAGTAATTCTCTTTGAGGTAGAAAATTCTAAACATGGAGGAACCATTTCCCCTTAATAGGAGCCAGAAATCCTGTAAGTGCTTGAAATGGCATTCACAAGTCTGAATGGTAAACAGATAAAAACAGGAGCGCACCAGTTGCACAAATGACTTGCTTGTCACAAACTTGTCATTGCAGTAATCTAACATTTCTTTCACAGAGCCCGATGGAAAGTATGGAACAAACAGGCCCTGCTGACGTTTTGGCTCTGCTAAGCCTTCCTCCGAGTTTTAAAGCATCTGCAGCATCTTCCTGTTGTAGACCCTTTATCTGCTGAAGTTAGCTGATATTGTACATGTCAAAGAAATGTTTGACTATTACATTAACAAGTTGATGACAAGCAAGTTATTCTTGCAACTGAAATACTGCTGCTTTTAGCAGGCTGCCATTTTGACCTTCATTTTATTATGCAGAAGAACCCTAATAGAGCAGAGCACTAGGGAGAAACCAGTGTGGTTGCCCCAGGCCTATACAAAGACCACCTGTTTAGGACTTAGGTGTAGTGATATAGGGGGCATACCAGGCAGGTCCATCAGAGTTATGGATGGAATTCCTTGTAAAACATAAATGTTGTGAATACATTAGGCTGTTTCAAAGATTGTTCTTGCAGGGGTAAAATGAACTGCACAGAAATAGATTTCTTCTTGCATCCTCTCTACCCCACACACATGTGCACATATGCCTGAGTATGCTTTATAGAATGATAGTAGCTAAGAAACCTAAATGAAAATTTTATATACCAGCTCTACACATAGTTTTTGCCCGCTTTTGGAGTTCCTGCCATCAGTAGCTTCCCTTAGCCTCCTCCACACTCACCATAATACCTGGAGTTATCTAAATGTAATAAGACCCATGCTTTTGTCCCCTCAAAAGCACTGTATCTCCATTGGCCTCCTCACAGAAAATGTAGGCAGCCCTTTCTAGGACATCACCAGTTCATTTCCAACCTCAGCCACCAGCAGGGAGTGCTCCTACACTGTGTAACTTCAGCCTCTCGCCATTCTGTTTGAGGAATCTTCCTCCCTTCAGGGACCCACCCTTGGGGTTCCTCTAGTGTGTCTAGAGGGTCCCAGCCTTATTAGCATACAGACCCTGTAATAGGAGCCTTGCCTATTGTACCCCTCACACCAGTGTTTTGCCTTTGTTGGTGCCATAGGTTTATCACCACTTGGAACAATGGAGAGTTTGCCCTAAGACTTTGGCCTTTTCATAAAACTGAGCTGCTGTTATTCACCAAGGTGTCAGCTTCCTTGTATTCTTTCTAGACCCTTCAGGTCTGCTAAGGGTACATTGATAGTGTTTTGTCTGGTTTAAATATTGACATGAAAAATTTGCATTCTCAGACTTATTTTCTGGCTGGTGCCTCAGGTACTCTCATTTTCAAAAGTTTTGTGTAAAAATGATTATCATAGTACAGCCATGAGAACCAGATTTCTTGCCAAAGTGGTGATGGGGCTTAACTTTCTTTTAGACTTGGCAAATTGAACATGGTACTGTCTCCAGGGTGAAATGTTTTACTCCCATACCAAATATCTCTTGCTGTAATCTACACCTTAGCTTTGTGGAACAACTACCTCAGAGGACAGGTGGGAAGGGTGTGAAAAGAGAGCCTTGTGTTTTAACAGGGTTAAGGATAGTATCCCTGGGGAAAAAAAAAAAAAAAGGTAAAGATAGTTTGAGGCAGCACTTAAACTTCCTGCAAAAGAAAATGCATAAATGAACAATTGGAATTTTAAATGGAATTTCATCGACTTTCTCTTTCTAAAGCTCCTAATAGGATTTCCATAATGATTTTGTGTTTTCTTTCCTAATAGAACTTAAATGGCAAATAAATGATATGCTATTTTTGATTTAGAAAAAAAAAAAAGCTTTTTTGTGGGTGTTCTCTTTTTAAATAAACATTAGAGAATAGATAATGGCAAACAAAAAAAAGTCTTCCTAATCAGAGGGATAGCTGATCAGTGTGTGTATGTGTTTTTAATATTTATTTATTTACTTATTTGATCATTTGTCTATTTATTGTAAGGAAATTAATAAAGGAAAGAAGAAAAACACCTTATGATAAATTAATCTCATTAGATTAATATAATTTTAGAGCTGGAAAGGAGTTGGAAAGGAGTTTGATGATCAAGCTATGACTTTATATCACACTCGGTTTAGAAATGTGAATGTTGAGACCCAAAGATGTCTAATCAGATGAATCAAGATGCACAGCAGGATTGTGGCAGAGCTAGGCCTAAAACTTTCATTTCAGGCAATACTCTCTCAGAATTTACATTACATTTTTTAAAGCTTTCTTTTAAACTGAGACAGCCTCATTTTAACAATTTACACTGATGTGCTTAAATCTAATAGGACATTTGCTATTATAGTAACTGAGACTTCACATTGGATATACCAACTAAGGAATATACATTCAAATAGTTCGAAGACATTTCTTTCTAAGCCATTTCTTATTTGCATAGGGTAAGGAACCTTAGTTAGTTCAATTTTTATCTTTTGTAAGATTTCAAAGAAACACTTGCACCATTCCTATTTACCTAAAAACATGGTTTTTAAATGAATCTGTTTCTTTAATAAGTATTCACTTAAGTAGGTCATACTCTTAACATTCTTGGAGATAAAAAAATCTTTTATCAGATTAAAAGAAATCTGGCTTTTATTCCTACTTTGAACCATCTTTGAGTTGGTCCTTGTAATTGTTGGTTTCAACAAAATACTAAGTCAAAAATCAATATTTGTGTTTATTTTTGTTTAATACAAGAGAAAACAATCCATTTATCTTTTTGCAGTTATGATACATAAATACTCTATTTTTCATTTATGCAAACCTAATTTTTGAGAATTTCCTTTTTGTTTCATTTCTCTGCTTTTGCATTTTTCAAACATCTGTACCATGGTTAGTGGCAAGAGTAGCAGTGGCTGGCACTTTTCCTTCACATTGTGAGAGAAAGAAAAGTGACTGGAATAAAACCTTGCTTTCCATGTGGTTGACTTGAAATGAAGCATTGAAAAGGTATCGTCTCTTTCTTTTCTGACACCAGAGGTGAAATCCACCAGCCAATAGCAGTATTGATACCAAATCATCTGTTGATTCATGTCAGTAAACTGTTTGGCAATGCATGCCCCCTTCCTCAACTGAAACCCCTAAATGGATAATCCTTGTGCATTAGCAGCATCCATCTATATCAACAATATATGCCTCTGTTCACGCATTTCAGGAAGCCTGAGATTCTACAGTCAAAAAATGAATGAAAACTTTTGCTTTTGATTCAACAAAATGATCACTTCATAGGCACGTTTGGCTGTGAAGTCCTTATTGATATTGGGCTCTATTATCAGAGATAGTGAAGAGAAGATGGCACTAGTGCTTTCTTCTACCTCAATTAATTCTCGTTAGGAAAAACTATGATGTTTGTCTTATACATTTACTAATGTAAAATATTTAAAGCACAGACTAGGCATGGTGGCTCACACCTATAATCCCGGCACTTTGGGAGGCCAAGGTGGGCAGATCACTTGAAGTTAGGAATTCAAGACCAGCCTGGCCAACACTCTAGTCTGGTGCACTCTAGCCTGGTGTATAGAGTGAAACTCTGTCCCTACCTAAAAAAAGAAAAAAAAAATGGCTACACTCTAGCCTGGTGGATAGAGTGGAACTCTGTCCCCCAACCCCCAAAAAAAAGAAAAAAAAATTTTAAAAACATATTAAGGATAATATGAAATACAAGAATCCAGAACCAAGTTAAACGAAGTTTAATAATTTGGAACATTTGTTTCTGAACCTATTTTTTATTAATTTATTATAGGTTACGTACAGTAAACTAGGCAAATTAGGTGTATACCTTGATGACTATACATGTGACAGCACCCATCCTAAGATACAGAATATCTGGGAAGAGTCCCTTGTGTATGCCCCTTGAAGGTGATATTTTCCACAGTTTTAACAAAAGGTAAAAAACAAGTAAAACCGCTGTGAACTCTATCATCATGAATTAGTTTTACATAAGTCATATATTTTGGTTTATATAAAATGTATTCTTCTGTATGTATTACTAAAATTTATCAATTCTCTCATTGTTACACGTTATTTTCAATGTTTTCCAATCACAAACAAGACCACAGTTAACCTTTTTATAGGCGTAATACATAGAAGTAGAATTGCTTAACTTTAAGAAATATGCATTTTGAACTTTACCTAGGTATTGTAAAATCTCTCTCCAATGTGGTTGCACCAATTTATATTCTCAATAGAAATCTAAGAAAGCATCTCCACATGCTTCACATTTGTGACAGTCAGACTTTTAAAAAATTTTTGTCAATCTGATGGGAATTAAATATCTCACTAAATTTTTTTTAAGCCATTGGGATTTTCTCTTCTGTGCTGCCTATTTGTATCTTTTGTCCATCTTTCTGTTGGATTATTTGTTGTGCTGTTGTTGCTTTGGAATAGTTTTGTTTTGTTTGGCCTGATTTGGTTTTTGGTATTAGTTGCTGCTGTTGTAATATTCCGGATTTTCATATTTTGGGCAATAGAGATTACAAAGATTTTTTTTTTCCCAATTTGTAGTTTCCCTTTTAACTGTGACTTTAGTGGTATTTGTTTTTATGAAGCTTTTACTATTAACTCAATTAAGTTTATTGATATTTTCCTTTATAATTTGTGCTTTTATGTCATTTAAGAAATCCTTTCACATGCCAAGGTCATTTGCCTTTCTGTATTTTCTTCTAATAGTTTTAAAGGTTTCCCTTTACATTTAGATCTTCAATTCTTCTGGAATTATTCTTTTTCCATATGGATAACCCAATTATCCCAGCATTATTTTAAAAACTAGTTATTCTTTACTAACTTGTAATGCCATCTTTTGCCTATATCAAATCTGTTTATATGATCTTTATTTGATCCAGCAGACTGTTTTCCTATCCTTGTGCTAACACCATAGTCCTTAATTACCATAGCTTTGTAATATTCTTTATACTTCGTAAGGTAAGTCTCTCTACCTTGTTCCTTTTTAAAATTCTTTTTAGCTCCCTTGGTCTTCTGCCTTTCTATATGAATTTTAGGGCTAGTTGGTCAAGTTTGGCAAAGGTCTTGCTGAATTTTATTTGTAATTACATTAACATTAGAAAATAATCTGGGGAGAATTGACATTTTTGTAATGTTGTGTCTTGCTGCCCAGTGACATACTATATCTCTCTATTTGTGATTGTCTTCATGTCCTTTAGTAATGTTTTAAAATTTCCATCGTAAATGTCTTGAACATGTTTTGTAAAGTTTCTTCTCCTATAACTTAGATTCTTGCACTATTATATTCATATCTGTTTTCCATTTCATTGTTTATTGGTTATTATTGGTATATCAGCAATTTTGCTGAACTCTCTTACTACTTTGAATAACTAAACTGGTAAATTCTCTTAAGTTTTCCACATCAACATGTATGTCAGCAGTAAGTAATGACAGGCATGTTCTTCAATTCTAATTCTTAAATGTTCAGTTTTTTCCTGTCATATTGCATTACTAAACCTCTGTATAGTATGAATAGGATAGTCATATTAACAATATGTGTTCTGTTTCTTATTTTACTGGAAATGTTTTAGAAATGCAACATTTGCCTGGGATTTATAGAAAACAAAATTATTGCATTAAAGAAGTTCTTAATATATTCCTAAAATATTTATAGTTTGCCAAATATTTTTAAACACAAATGCTAGTTAAATTTTATCTAATGTATGTTTTGCATCAGTATAAGATAGAATTTTCCACTACTATATTAATATTTTATATGATATTATTACATTTCCTGATATTAAACATTTCTTATATTCCTGGAAAAAAAAAGATTCTTGCTCTTAGTGTATTTCTTAAATCTACTGTTGAGTTTAATTTGCTGATATGTAGTATGTTTACATGGGGCAATCAGTCTTTAATTTTTATTTTTTTAAGTGTTACTGTAGAGTTTTGCTGTCACAATGGTTCTAGCCTCATAAGTTGCATGACATTTCATTTTTTTCTATTTCTCAAATATTTTTTATATTGTCAGGATTATTTATTCTGTGTATTTGGTTATACTTGCATCTAAAATCATCTCAACTTGGTAATTTTTATCAGTAGTTTGTATGTAGTAATAGGCAGATTATCAGAATATCTGAATAAATCAATAACCATAGAGGAAATTTCTGTTTCTTCTCTAGTCAGTTTGGGGAAGTTTTTTTTATATATATACAGTTCACAGTTTATACTTCAATTTATTTGTATAAAGTTATTTATATAGTCTTATGATTTTTAATTTTTCATCCTTAATTATGTTCCCCTCTTATTCCTAATATTACTTATTTGACCCTTCTGCCTTTTCTTTTATTAGATGCTAGATATTTTTCTTTCATTTACTTTTTTACAAAAACTGGCTTTTGATTTTGCTTATCTACATTATTATTTATTTGTAGTCCAAGTCATTACTTTCTGCTTTTATCAGCATTAAGATATTTCCTTCCTTATATATTTTTATATTTTTAGGTCATTTTTCTTTTTCTAGATTCTTGAATTGAATATTATTCTTTTACTTTCAATTATTTTTATTATCCTTAAAAATAAATTTCAGACTTTAAATTTTTTTCCTGGTTTCTCATTAGGTGCGTACCGTATTTTGATATATAGTTTTGTTCAATTTTAAATATTTCATAATAATCTGTTTTGATTTATTTTTAACCCTTGAGGTATTTAGAAGGGTATATTTTTACTTTGTAAACATATTTACTCTATTTTTATTATTTATTTCTGAATTTAAATGCATTGAAATAAAATGATGTGTTTATACAGTTTTAATTGAAAAAATGTTTTAGTTTATTTTGTGACTTTATCTGGTACATGGATTTTACTTCTGGCTTGAAATTTGTAGGTGGCTTATCTGTTTCTTTAGCACTACTTCTAATCCTACAATTCTTTTGTGTATACTGAACTATATATTTTTCTAAGAAAATATAAAATCGACCTTTTAGTATTTCTGACCCTCTTCTTAATTTAAAAAAGGTGGTTAGCATGGCATGTTTTATTACCTGTTAAGTAGCAATCTTGTTAAAATAATTGTCTAATGAAGTTTTAGTTTTACCTATTTGTTTTTAACCAGATTCAAAAGTGATGATCACTGTTTTCTATAATCAATGCTTAATTATATTTACTAATATTTTTTAGATATTATTTATACCAGCTGTTATTGTTAGATCCTGTGGCTTCCTTTCTGGGTTTACTTTCCTTATTACATTTTTTAGTAATTATTTAGTGAGGACCCTTAGTAATACACATTTTTTTATTTATCTAAATATGTCCTTATTATGTCTTTTATCTTAAATAGCAATTTATCTGGGCATTTTTGCTCAGCATTTTAAAAACATTATTCAATTATATCTTAGACTATTGTTCTGGCAACTATTCTTAATGAAGAGAAATCTGTCAATCTAGTTTTATCTCTTTATAGGTAATCTGTTTTTTCTCCTGGTAGCTTTTTAAAGTTATTCTATATCATTAATGTCTTGTAGTTTCTCTGAAATGTGTCTGGATGTGGATTTATTTTGAATTATTAGTCATGAGCTCAGCATATACTTATGAATCTCAGGACTCCAGTTTTGGAAAATTCTTAGCTATTATCTTTTCTTTATTGTTCTTTTGTCATTACCTTCATTTTCTTCTTCTGGAATTCTTATAAGACATATATTGGTATTTCCTAATCGGCTTACTGTATCTCAATTGCTATTTCATTTTCAAAAAATCAATTCTTCTTGCTACAACTTTTTTCTGAGTGAATTCCTTAACATTACCTTCCAATTCACTTAATTCTCTCCTTGAAATTGCCTTTTTTCATTTATTGTACTTTCATATTAATGAACATTTTTAATTTTTTAAGATTTCTTATTAATTTTTACTCTTATTCACCTATTCTTATTTTATTTCTATCTGTATTTAATCATTTCTTGTTCTTTTTTAGGTACAAGTACTTTATCACTAAGCATTTCAAGCATATTCATGTTGAGGTCATTGTCAGATAATTTTATAAAATCAAATTCATCTGGAGTGCATATTCCAATTATTGATTGATTTTCTTAGCATTTAGTTTCTTGCTATGTGTTATAATTTTATTTTACAGATTTTGTTTTGTTTGTTTGTTTTGTGCACATGTCCCTAACTAGTGGTTTTACAGTTGCCTTTATCTGGATCTTCTTAGTCCCAGTCCAGATCTCACAATGGTACCTTTCAGCTTCATTCTTATATGAATATTTGATCATAATGCTGTATCTTATCTTTCCACCTCTCAGGTACTGCAGCCCAATATAAGCTGTTTCCCCAGGTAACAACTGGCCAAATTTTTGCAGCCTCTTGATAAAGTAGTAAGCCAGGTTCAGGTCCACCATTTCAAATGGGGCCCTTTTGACTCCATTACTCTAGAGTATCTCTATGTGACTCTATCCAGATTTTCATAGGCCTATGGCTTCAGCACCATGTACAGCTTTTAGTAGCTTTCTATAAATGATTATCTTCTTTTTAAGTCTGACTGTGCATGTTTTCCACGTTTTATATTTTATGGAATTTTTAAGGTAACAATATATCTTGGACAATGCTCCTTTGATTCTTATCTCTCTTTATTATGTTTTTTATATTATCTTTATTGTGCTTTGCTCTATTGCAGTTCACAGATATTTTTTCACAAATTGAAGGTTTGTGGAAACTCTGCGTTGAGAAAGTCTATCAGCACCATTTTTTAATTTTTTTTCTTTTTTAAAAAATTTGTGAGTACATAAATACATCATTTAAAAACACAATGTTACAAAGTTATTGAATGTTTAGCTGTGCTGGGCACTAAACATTACACATATTGTTTTTTTCAATCCTTTCTACATTCAGTTATTCTTATTTCCATTTTTTATGGCAGAAAGTTAAGGTAAATAGACTAAATAAATACACCAGTAGGAAAGAAATTATAACAAGTAAATGGCAGAAATAACATTTGAATCCTGTTTTGCCACCAAAACTAGTGTCCTTAAACTGCTATCCTGTGGTTAAATTCTGGTTTTTTAATCTTTTAAAAATATTAGTTATTATTTTTAATGTTAATTAAATTAAACCAATATTCCTTTTGTAAAAAAATATGTATCTAGTCCTATCTCAGAAATCTTTTTTATATTTTCTATGTTTTTATGCTTACTTGGTCTAAATTCACTCTCTCCCTCTCACTCTGTCTCTGTCTCTTTTGAGAAGTGATGGCTTTTTTAGCTTTTCTCAATCTAGCAATTTGAAGTTTTAAAGTATAGTTTATCCTTTTAATAATGATCACTGTTATTTTTCTGAAAAACGTTCAGGACTGTTTTCTTTAATTATTGTCGTTAATGAAATAGTACACTGCATGAAATGAGAAATTTAGGATACTGTTTCTTCCTCTATCTCCTCATATGACTCAAGTTCTTATTTGTGTTGTAATACCTTATATCAGGTATAAATTATTATTTTTATTGTATAGTAATCAAGAGAATAACAGAAAGCTGGGTTACTTTTTTGGGTAGTAGAGAGCTTCTAGCAAAAAGTAGATGCTTAATAAATATTGGTTGAGTGTTAAGTGAATGGTGGACCTGTTTGGTTACACACGTGCACACACACAGAAAGAAAACATAGCTGAGATCTCGTTGCTGCTGATGAACTACCATTTTGTTTAAACCTTGTATTTTATAAGCAGTTGAATCATGATATGATTTAATAAATACTTTTCTGTCAATTATTTTGTTAGGCAAACCCATGCTTT